ATGTAGTCCGCGTGAAATGGCATAGTTGAACGCGTCCAAAAACCACGAGGTGTAGGAAACCTGAGCGTCAGTGAACACGCGAAAGATGTAGAGATCCGCCTGTGGAGCGAGACCCGGTGGGGGACACGAACTCGAATCAGATCGTGAACTGTGTCTGGCTGGAAGCAGGACTTCCAACACTGAGGGGGATTTTGAGAAACTAGCGGTCGCGGCTATTACACCGGCCACAAATGTCCCATGTCCATGACCATCGACAGCTTCGTCCAGACCAACATTTTCTATCGACCCAGATTGTCCTGCGTCATCGGAAAGAGCAGAACCCACCTGAGTGGTGAAACGGAAGTGGAAACTGTTACAGAAATTGGTAAAGACCGTATGAAAACTGTGGCGGAAAATTTACTACTTTAACCCTCACTGATTTATTGTTGAGAGTCAAAAATGGCGAGATAACCAAGTACGCAAGGTCATTAATTAAACTGTATTCATCATTTCTCAGCAGTAGACGTTGCTGTGGAAAATGTATGATAACAGAATTTAATCGACACTGTTCCGAATTTAAAATTCATATATGGGAATTCCGCAAGAGGTCTGCGTAAATTAAAGTGGTTAAAATCAATGATCCAAGTTTTTTTGCAACAGGAAACAAATCTTTTTTAGAGTTACAAGTTTGTGTCCGGAAAGGGACACAAAGAGTACGTGCACTGCGGACGAGTCCGAAACAGCCGTCTTTGTCGGTTATCGCAAACGTGTGACACAACAAGGAATATTTCCACATTCGGACACGGCCACATGAACAAACGGTCCATGATGGCCTTCTCCCTGGTAAATGGATTATTCATTCAATTGAACTGATCTATCGGATAGGACATTGGGATTTGTCTTTCAATGCGCTGTGCCACCAAAAAAAACGTATTGTTCCCCGACAATTTAACCGGCACTCTTTTCATCGTGCCCTGAAGACCATTATTCATATTTCTACCATGCACTGGATTTACCTAAGCCCACATTTATTTGTGCCCGATACAAATTTACGGGAAAGGCACCATCCCACAAAGATCGTAACGATTTTAACTATATATCTTCAACC